TCCCAGAATACAATCTTGTGCTTCCTACTCCCCTGCTTCTACCTGACAGCTTTAGCGACTTTCCACACGACTTCATGCAATGGATAATACAACAGGCTTTTAAAATGCAATACATAGTTAAAGATAAAAGTTTTCAAGCTAGGTAACTTCTTCCAAAAAGCAGTGTGTGTAGTCAGGGAAACCTTTTCGACCTCTGTGAGTTGTTAAAGGATCCACCAAATTGTGATTTGTCACTCTAAACTTCTCTCTTGTGGTTTAATTTAAATACATTTTCCAATGATACAATAGTTCACTGAAAAGTGAAAGCTGCTTTGTGTATCAGAACTTCTTCTTTCCTCTTCCATTAATCCTCTGATGACCCTTAAATCTGCTGTCGCTGTATGTAAAACTGTATATAAAGTAGTTCAACCTGCAGCAGCTCCAACAGTAACAAGCTGCTGATAAAAAGATGCTTCACTAATAATAATCTAATGATGGCACATGTGATAATATGTCAGTCAGAGGAACCAAACCAGTGCTTTGACTTTATTACTTCAGCTTTGTTTTGCTGCTTGTGCTGTTGTACTTTTATACAAGTAAAGGATTAAATTCCAGCACTGTATTTAGATACGAACCTAAACAAAATATTAATATTTTAATTGTATTATTTTAAATGGAATTTAACCCTGAGAAGTTCATGGTTTTGAAATATGTATTTAATTCTATTCGTGACTCCACGTCTTCATTGTAAGATATTTTTTGCTTACATAATTTCCACTTAAAATGTCATGGCTGTAGCAGTGACTGAATGAAAGAATCTGTACATTTAAGCTTTTCCTTGTATAGCTTTAAAAGGCCTTCCGACACCTTACACATTAATGAGTCACAACCTCAATTTATTACTGTAGACACATCTTGAGTGTAGCATCACTGTCGTGCCTCTCAGTAATTAACCTGTCATTAAAAGTGCATATAAATAATGTTATGAGATATGCCACGGTCTCCCGGTAAATGAGAATTGAGTGGGTGGCCTATGCAGACAAGGAGATGGCGTACAACCGTGGCTGTTAGGTGTTCTGCGTGACACAAATCATCTGCATAAGTCCTCTTTGCTGCCCTCCCTACATTACTCACAATGTGTTCCTTATGCAAACCTAAAGGGAACCATTAGGAATCATTATTACAGTTACCCAGCAACGGATTGCAGCTTCAAAAGTATTTCTGTGCTCCCACATAGGTCTATTGTCTACCTGAGATGGTAAAATGTCTGCCTTGGACAAAACCGAGCCCTGTGCGGGAATGTTTGACGCGGTTTAAATGTCGTCTTTGCTCCATTTTGGTTCACCAAATTCAGAAAAAAAAAACTTAAAATTGACCTGGATGGCATGTGAGCTGCAAACACACTGCAGTTGGTGAGGACCGCAGGTGTGCCGGCTGATTAATCGTACTTTCGTTGTCACCGTGATGGGAACTTTCGTGATAAACACATCGCAAAAGGCCCCCGGAGACGTGATGAACCAGAAAATCATTTTATTTTGGTGGCATCACATTCAGCATTTGAACATTTGATTGATGTGATGGAACCACGGACACCTTGGCCATGCTGGCGAGTCTGAACAGGGTGTTCTTTTTAACAAAATTACCCCGTTTATCAGTGCCTGAAAATGTAAAAAGTGAAAGAAAAATGGGGTTTTCAGTTTTCTAATTGTCCTTGAATGAATCATCGGTGACATTATGGTCACAGCATCTAACCTTATATTTTATTAAATGTCTTTATTCCACGTTTTTCATGTAAATTTCTCCAAAATAACTTGTTTGCATCAACCAGATTCTGTAAAAACCAAAAAATTCTACCCTCCTCGGCGCAACCATGATGCAATTAGTGACTCAGTTGCGAAAAACATCACGCTATTAAAAAAAAAAATCAGAGACTTTTTGGCAGAATTGAGCTGAACTGCATTTAGAGGAGATAAGAGACAAGTGTGGAAATAACTTTAAAATGCTGAGCTTCAGAAGGTTAGTATATAAGAACACATCAAACCATCGAGCCCGCCAAAATAAAATACATGTTGCATGGCTCAAAAATGGTAAACAGAGGAGCAAGTTGTTGAAGATACAGTCAGCATGGTGAAACAGCTTCCTTTTGCAGTATCTATAGTATGTAGAGCCACCATTTTCCCCCCAGTATTGGTAAATGAAAAAAAGTTGATTCTAGGTTTTTTTAATTTTTGGAAAAAGGAATCATCACACACATTTTGGTATTTCTGCTCATGGTTTTAGTTTCAGTATCATCAGCTTAACTGTTGCTCAGTTAGAATGACAATAGATGGTTATTGTTGTTGTTGTTGTTGTTAGTTCAGGAATCAACAGAAACCCTAAATCAGCTTTAAACTGTAACCATGATTTGTGTGCATTCAGGGATTCACCTGGTTTGATGTTATTTAACCGTCGGAGCTCCAAAACCCAGTGGATTTAAAAAGTATGTTGTTGTTGTTTTAAATCTCTAAATTTAAACCATTTGTCAGAGCCGGTAAAATTAGAAAGAAATCGTGGGTTTTCGTCTTAATTTTCCATCAATCCTTGACGTAATCATTTCAGTTTAGGAGAGGGGAGAAAAAATCTAAGCTTTTTCCAAAGTCCACACATTTATACATTTATCAAAAATAATAACTGTTAACAATAACCAGATTCCCAAAAAATAAAATAAATAAAAAAAATGTGCGCCCCGGTGCAATGAACAGTCTATTAACAAAATATCTGGATTTTTAAAAAAATGTTATTTAAAAATTATTAATGTAAGTAGTAAAATATCTGCAGTATGTAGAGCCACATTTTTTTGGAGGCACCTGGAAATAGTTTGAACACACTGAGTCTAAGTTTTCAATTTTTGTGAACAGAAATTATAAAGGAAATTCTGCTTTTCTTGTTTTTTTAAGCACTTACGGCATTATAACTTTTCCATACGGCACAAAAAAACATTTTTTTAGTTATCTCGTCTTTGTCGCTGTCATCGTGTTGCTTGGGGTTCAGAGGGAAGTAATCTGGATATTGACGGAATACCATCATCAAACTGTTTTTGACCACAAACTGGTAGTGATGTGGAGGAACATATTGAGTGTTTTTGTGTGCTTTCAGGCTCCATGGCACACGCTTGGCTTTTCTAAAGGTCGTTGGAGGCCTCAGAGATGATTGTAAAAGTGAGTCTTTATATGTGGAGTGTGACCCTTCGACTGGATGTTGGAATGTCAGGGCTCCAGGAGCTTTCAGAACCGCCAGAGAGCTGATCGACCTGCTGAGTGTCAGAGGAGACAGACTCTGCAGTGTGGAGACATAAACTCAGATTTATCCTGTGTGTCACATGGCAAGACTGTCCCCATTCACAGGGAACTTTACCATATATACGTTAAAAGATTGTTGTGTGTTGCAGTGGAAATATGATGCAAAAACAGCCTGAATAGTGAAGAACTGCAGCGATGGGAAAACCTGAAATGTTCTTGTTCTCCAGCCGGTCGGGATGAGGAGGAGCACTGTGGCTCCTTTCACTGGTTATTATGAGATTTTCGACTCTTGTAATTATCTGCCAGATAGCTGGGCCACTCCTTCCTGCTTCACCCCAACTAAAGAAAGCCAGTTTTTTGTTCTTCTGTTCTTTCCATCAGCCGGCAGTCTATCTGAAGCAGCGGCTCGTGTTTGGTGGGAGGTTTCCCTTTTTAATGCAGTTGTCTGTCAGAAGTGGCTAACCTTTGATTTTCCGGGGTACTAGAGAGTATTTGAAAAGTGGAAGGACTTAAATAGGATTTTCACTCCAGGCCTTAATCCTCTGAACCCCGAGCACTCTCTGTTTTTTTTTGCTCCTTTTACATTTTTTATTCTCTGTGGGCTCAGTTTTCACTGCGATATAAAGACCTGCACCTCTATGGAAACAGAATCACAATGACTAGAAGAAGAGAGAGCTCAAAATGCCTTAAATAAAAGAAAAAATAAATATATCAAGGCTATTTATACGATATATATATATTTTACTACTCACATTTCAGATGTTTTTTTTTTAATTAACATCAGTTGAACGGGTTACGATAAGTTTGTAATTCCACAAATCATAAAAATGATTTGATTATTTATTAAACAGCAATTTATAAAGTTAAGTAGAAATGTGACGGGAGCAGAAAAAGCACCTTGAACGCCTCTTTCTTGGCGTTCAGGAGCTAATTTAAGCATAAAAACATCATCAAACCATTGAGCTCTCATGCTGTGAGGCTTGTCACTGATGTAATCAATCAGCGCTCTCGGCTGATTACCGTTAATGCAGCTGTTCGTTATTTGAGCTACATTAAATTATTTGACGGACAGAACATCTGTGCAATATATACCTTTAGATAACCAGATGAGCCTGGAGGTTGAGTTTCAGGAGGATGTGAGGTCTTATGTTAAACAGTCGTCGCTCTGCTCATCTGGAGATCGTCGCTATGTAAATGTGACATTTGATGGTCTGCCTCCTGACATTTATTGGTCTGGTTGAAGGCATCTGTATCAATCATAATGAATATTATTTGAAGCTTAATGCGCCGCTAAGTGCCTCTGCTGAATATCACGCGCCCGGCGATGACATTCACATCGACCAAAGAAGAGTAAAAAAACTGGTGGGATACATCGGTTTTTAATTACAAGTGCACAGCTGATTGTTTCGATCACACAGATAATCACGTTTGAACAGTTACAGCATCTCCGACTGTAGACGCCTTTCGGGTTCTGTACACACCCAAGACACAGCATTGCTTATATGCCGTAGTTTACAGTATTAACATTACAGCCCGTGAAGAATATCTCTAGAACGTGCTTCCCTTCGTATGTTTTGGAGAAAGCGGCAGAAATGTTCAGTCTCGAGGCTCGCCGTGTTCTGCACCTGTGCTTTGGTTCTCTTGAGGAAAAGATCTTGAGTTCACATGTCCTGGACAAACACAGGGAGTCTGACAGTCCATCGCAGCAACAGCTAATGTCAACAGAACGTGGTAGACTTCATCACAAGGCTGGAACAGACATCTGGGGTTTGTCTAAGATCGACAAGAAGCACAGTGGATCTACGTTTATCTAACAGCAGCCCTCAGATCGTAATGTTCTTCGACCGCTGTTGGCAGAACGCTTACACATGTGGGCAGAAGCACATCACAATATCCCTCTACAGACAAGATACAGAGAAGCAACCATAAATCTTCCTCGCCGGTACTAATACATTTTTGGATTCCCTGCATGCTGGATGGGACAGATTGCATGCATCATTTTCAGACTGCTCTCGGGCTTTTTTAAATAGTTTAAAGAGAGCTGGATGAAGTAATAAAAGAAAGTCGGGAATCTTTCCGTGTTACTGATTCATCTTTATCTCCTCAGTGTCCAGAATTATTTAGGTCCAAATGAAGTCGGTTTTAAATAAGAAATCATCTGCTACGGCTCCCACGCCGGAGTGGCAGCATCATTTACCCCTTCCAGAGGGAAGAGACATTGCACTTGGGACTTTTCAATTAAAAATAATGAGAAAATAACAAGAAAAAAAAACACATTCTACAGTAAATCAGTCGTCCATTTTGGAGGGAATAACTGTCCAAAACATTTCCATGAGAGAAATTTACATTTTTTTTCCTCCACTGCTCATCCCTAGCTGCTGATCTTGGTCAGCATCTTGTTGATGGCCTGTTTGACGTGGGTGGTGGAGCTGCGACGTCGGGCTTTTCCCTGCACCGCTTTGCGGCGCCTCACCTCTCGGCAGAGCTCGTGGAAAGCCTCGGCTACGGCGCCGCCCTCGTCGGCGCAGGCCGAACACTCGTAGAAGGCACAAGCCATCTCAGCTGCCAGTCGCTCTCCTTCCTCCGTGCCGACCTGCCGGACGTGGTCCAGGTCGGACTTGTTGCCCACCAGGACCAGGGGGACGTTCTTCGGCTTCTTCACCTCCTCCAGGAGACTTCGGAGCGGTGCCACCTCCTCAAAGCTTCCCCGGTCTGTGATGTCGTACACGATGACGAAGCCGTCGCCCCAACGCATGTGGCCCTCCTTCTGCTGGATGTCCTCCTGAGATGAAGACCACAGATATGGTGATGAAACACTTCAGTTTTAAAGATTACTAGAAGAATAGCTTGACATTTTGGGAAACACACTTGTTTGCTTTCTTGCTCAGAGTTAGACGTGGCGATTGATACGAGAGATTGACCAGTTGGCAATTTGTGGGTGCAGAACTCAGTGTTTTTAATCGGTCTGGCTTTCTGTATCTTCAGCTACTCGTAATGTCTTGACCAACGTCTCGGCACTGTCTGATTTGTTATATGTCACGACTAACATTTAGGATGCATTTTGAGAAGTCCTCTTCTAACTAAATGTAGATTAATCAACAAAGTTTTGTGTTGAGGTTTGTGTTTTTCTAAGTTTTCGTGCTGGCGTTGGTGTCGACCCTGAATTGATTCGACTCCTCATGTTTATACCATAAGCTACCAGAGACAGCTGGTTGTAAAAAACATTGAAACGTCTAACCCAGCTTTGTCTTTCTCTATAAAACTCAATAATTAACATACTAAATCTTGTTTGTTGAGTCTGTACCGGCTGTACGAAACCTCTGTGCCTGTGAACTTTAAGTAAAGCCTTTCCAGCTGTTCCTCGTTCCCAGTCGTCACGGTAAGCTAAGCTAGGCTAATCGTCTTCTGGCTGCAGCCCATTGTTTACTTATCAAACTTACGAGAACTTGTTTTTATTGTGGGTAACCAAACGAGATAAAGGAGACATAAAACACGCTAATAGGACAGCTTTAGGGGTTAGCTGTTTCCAGACTTTGTTTTATTTGTCTTCCCTAAACTCACGGGTTTCTTTATATTTACCGTACAGACGCGACTGTTCCAATTTATTGTTTCATTAGAAAGAAAACTCCCCAAAATATCAAACATTTTTTTCTTGAGCTTTGTCAAAACATGCCAAATTATTTCCAACATAATAAAATCGTTGATGAATAGATGATGGCTTGCAGTCAGCATTTTCAGCCTCTGCGCTCGTCTTTTCATGTCTTTGTGTGTTCGAACACCAAAAACGCAGCACATGTAGGACATTCAGTTTCTTTAAGCCTTTGTGTTCGGCTCCTGAATTTTCTCTCCGCTGCCTCCTTCACCTCCTCGAGCCATAAATTGAATTCTGCAGCCATCTGAGGAACGCAAACAGTCAAGCATGTGCTCCTAATTTAATCAAGTCGAAGCAGAAACAGTCGTAACAGGACCCAACTGGTGGTGTGGCACACTTGAAGTCATAACCCGACTGCGGGGAGGCACACGGGCTCTGATCTCATAGTTATTGTTTGGAGGGAGCTTAAAAGAAATACCTCATTCCGCCAGACTTTGACGTTTGTGTACCTGACCGATTTCTGAACCAGGAATTTACGAGCTATCGCGAAAACCCCACCTCCACAAATCACGAGAGGTGGCACAATGCTTTGATGAGATCGGAGTCGGGAGAGGGCTGACGTCCTCCGTGTCTGGAAGCATTCAGACCTCATCCTAATGCCTGGCTGAAAATAGACTAAAAATGTAATGAGAGAGAGAGATGACTTGGCTGAAGTGTCGCAGGGGAAATCAGCCGGCAGCAGAACACCTACGCAGCACTGCAGCATAGTTATCTCCGTCCTGAGGACTTACGCAAGCTCTCCCTCATGGTCAGAACCAGGCGGCGCTTTTGTTAGACTGCGGGAAATTACCATCTTTAAGTGCCATTCACTCTCACATCCACTCCAGCGATTGTCAAACAGGAGCCGAACGCCTCCAAGAAAGGCAGCGAGGGGAGGATGACACCTGATGGCGCTTGTCCACGTTGAAAACAAGTGAAGCAAATGTGCTATCTTTATAGAAGTAAGAGTTTAATATGCAGAACTTTAACAGATTTTCTCTGTTCTTTTGTCTCATCTATGGTAATTTCATGCTAATTTTCACTGAACTCCTTAATCATTTCATTAATATAAAAGATGAGTCTCGAGCCATTTGCATATCGTCTTAGTCAGAACCGCACAACGGGGCTAAAAACAGACACTGATGATGCACAGAGACTGAGCTGTTTGTTTGAATCACAGACACTCAGCCACTTACTGAGACAAAGGCCTGGGAGATGAGACCTTTATAAGAATAAACTCTTAAAACTGGATGTGAGGCGTTTAGGGGACATTGGTAATTTGTAGTGTCAGCGGATAAAGAAATGAGGAGTTTAATGTGACTGTGTACCAAATTAATGTAGTTTTAGATTACCGTAATTTCCAGACTACTTTTTTCACACGCTTTGAACACTGCGGCTTAAACAGTGATGCACCTAATGCATGGAGTTTTACGAAGTCGAAAGCGACATTGAGAGCGACAACGAAAGAGAGACTGAGGAAGTGTGTGACAAAGCAATTCTGTTCAATGCGACACTGAAGAAGACAACTTTAGTGGTTTTAGTGCAGGAGGAAGATGAAGATAGTGATCAATGACTTTTCCTGGTAGGCTGCTGTCGTTTTTATTTTCTTAACCAGCCGTGTTACAGGCGCTGTTAGGAAAAAAGCTTTTACGTATTTGTGTATGTTACCGGTACATATTTAATTAGAAGTTAAAAAAATCTTACTGTGTAAACATCTCATGTTTCAATGTGGACACCTGCAGCTTATAGACAAGTGCGGCCCGTATATGTACAAATTTGTTTTTCTTTTTAACGTTAGTGGGTGCGGCTTATATTCAGGTGCGCTCAATAGTCCGAAAATTACGGTAAAATATTTTTAAAATGTGAAGTCTCGTGGCACTAACAATCTTGGCACCAATGCAAAATTTGTTTGGATAATAGGAAGATGGATTAACGGTTGTGGCGATGCCTTTTCAACATGTAGGATAGTTTTATACACTTTTGCACTTCAACATGTTAACCTTTGTTACCGTTTTGTACCGTGCTGCCTTATACAGTGGAGTACAGTTTGCCAAAGTAAAATAAATGTAGATGAAAAAGTCATTTTGCTTTTTGGAGGAAAATTTTGTGTTAATTATTTTAAAAAATGCTCATTAGTTGCAGCAGTGTCGATTTCGGAATGTTTCTGATAAAACAGTCGTGGGCTTACTACAAATTAGAAAGGCAGACGAGGTTGTTGGTCCACCCAGACGCTTCTCGTTAACATGGAAATGAAAATTAGCAACTCGCAGATTTTAAGACTCAACCAAAATCACTTGAGGTGAAATTACCATTTGCCAATTTCGGCTTTTAACAGTCTTGACTGTGTTTATTAAATTATGTTGTGAAGAAGAGTTCTGCTTTGCGCGACTCTCTGTTTGGTTCCAGATTTCAGGCATATTTATTAAAGTCAACATTTAGCGTGTGTTTTTATTCAAAAGGTGCTTCACTGTGAGTAATGAGGACTTGGTTAATTCGTCTCACCTGCCCCGCGGTGTCCAGAATCTCCATGGTGACAACCTCGTCGTCAATATTTGCCTGGTGACGATACGTTGATTCTGAAAGGCACAAAAGACAAAGAGATGGCTAATTAGTTTTTAGGAACACAGTCCGATGTGAGTCATCGTTTGACAATAGTGACACCCGACATCGGAGCAGAACTCATTAAAAATGCATTTTTGAGTTAGTGAATCACACATCGCTGGAGGAAGCAGGCAGATTTTCAGCGTGTTTACAAAAAGTCAACACCACTGAAGAGGTTGAATACAATGCTGCCCACGACTCTTTTGAATATTCAGAAGTTCACACGTAAACCGACGATTACTGTGTGTACATCTCTTTATACCCAACCAGTGCTTCTCACCTAATCATCTTTAATTCTGAAAATATTATTCACCAGGCTGCTGGAAGGAGAGAACCTGTTTGAATGATGCACCTTAGAGTTTCATTACAGCTTCTTTACATCAGAAATACACGTCAGGTGTTGCTCGTGCTGGACGATATAAACTCATGTGTACCATACATCATTATGTCCAAGGTTTAACCATTTTATTGGACATTAATGTCATATCTCTCATAGCCAGGTCTATTTCCACATCACTGTCATCACTTAAGATTGGTCTCTTCAAACCCATCGTTATTCTGTTGTTGTTGTTTGTATTTCTGTAGTTGTCTTGGGCAGCTTAGCCCAGGATACAGTGGTGGTGCCCTCTGCAAAATAGCGTTGACATGCTTTAGAACATGAAAGTTTCTCCGGAACCGTTGTTCAAACACGGAAGAATTTCCTTGTTAGACAGCAGCAGTAGTTGCAAATACATTCTTTGAAGATCTTTACAATCTTTCACTGAAAGAACCAGCCATGGCTGCCTTATCGAATGACCCAAATCTATGTCAGAACTCGCCATTTTCATTGTAGAAGTTGTTAGCTCGGAGGTGGTTGTTATTGTTTCCTGTGGAGAAGGAGATTTTGAAAACGTCCACTGGGTCAGACTTTCTTTTTTTTAAAATTCTATTTCCTGTTATTCAGGATACGTTTTGTTAAGTCTCACAAACATTTGCTTTTTTGTGAGTTGATTATATGAATGTAACTGTGATAATGTGTTGCGATAAACTTTTATTATTCTATAGTGTAAACATTTAGTAAATATCAGTAGAAAAATGAAAATAAACCAAAACTAAGTACTAGTTTGGATTGTTTTGGATGGACATATGTTATCTCTTATCGATCACAGACCCCTGAATCAAATCGAAATTGTATCGTGGCAGACTTTGTGATATCGGCAAATATTATACCGGTGTTTAGTGAATCGATAGAATATAGTGATGAAACCAGTGATTGACACCTCTAGGTACTAGTTAGCGGGAAGTTACCAGATGACGCGTCACCATAGCTGATAGGTCACCCCAACCCCTCCTGCCATCTCCACCCCCTCATCCCCACTGTCACCCCAACTGGTTGAAGCAGATAGCTGCCTTTCCTAAGCCCGGTTCTGTTGGAGGTTTTTTTTTTTCCACTCCCACTGGGGGTTTTTTAGCTCCTTCCCACCTCTGTGAAGATTCTTAGTCATCCAGGTCATGGTTATTCTTGTAGTTTAATTGTAGCAACTGGACTTGCTTGAGTTCCTTGAAGACGTTTCATCCAAGAGGCTTCATCAGTTCTGACTGACTAGTTGGGAGTTCCAGATGCTTAAGGAGCCATTAACACCTGAGTTTCGGTTTCAATTGGGGGTTTGTTGCTCCTCCCACTCATTGTGCGAGTCGTTAGTGCTCCCCTTGCCACAATGGGGTTTGTTTGGAAGCCTCTTGGATGAGAGGTGAAACGTCTTCAAGAAACTCAAGCAAGTCCAGTTGCTACGATTAAACTACGAGACGTTCCTTCCCATCGTTGCCGACCGCTTGCTCAGATGGAGTCCAAATGCAACTTTGGATTGTTGGGTTCTCTGTTCAAATTCGTGCGGTCTTCATCTTACTATGTTAAGCACTATGAGCTGACACATGTTGTGAATTGCGCTATGTAGATAGAGTTGAATTGAATTAAACTTTAATGCTCAAACTGAGGGATTTTCTGCTGTACGTCAAAACAGACCAGTTCAGACAGATACCGCATCGTTTGAAAAAGGACATCATCTTTCAAGTGTCTCCTGCTTCTTCTTCCATTAAATCATCATCTGGCGTTTCGGAGCCGATTGCGTCAGCTTTTTGTCGGCATGCTGTCGTAAGCTGCTGGTTCCTGGGCGACAGTCGACCCCTTCGATGACCCGAAAACGACCCGAGCGTCACCTCTGGCTGAAGTAAACGGGATAAGAGCTTCACAGGAACACAGGTGCGAACGGCGACCATGACCTTTCGTTCCACCTCTGACAGCGCAGGAGTTATCCGCCTGGATCTCCCGCTTGTAAAAACCCCATCTGTGCAAACACCTCCGTGAGCCCCCTGAAAACCTCCCTCCTCAGAGGACGGCTACTGCTGGATTTTGCCATCATCGGGGTAAAAGGCGGCCCTTTCTCTGAGCTTTGTGACTCTCTGAGTTCATGCACGGTTGTTATAGTCAGTCAGGAAATCAATTTTCTGTTCAATGTTCTTTTTAAAACGCACGTTGATTATTAGCCTTGTTCCTTTTTTCCCCCGATTCCCATTTCACTGCTGTCTCTTAATGATAGAGCCTATTCATTACTCCACGACACTGCTTTTGATAGCTTTTACCGGTGCCGGCAGGAAAATTACAAGCTTGTGATTTCCTACCAAAATACACCCTAGCTGTCATAATTAACCTCGAATCAACTTCTAGCTTTTTAAATGAAAGATCAAGACATGGTGGATTAAACGTTGAGCATAACTGCAATTAATCTTTGGTCATAGTATGTTAGACATAATGTGTGGAAAAGGAATTAAGGTGACTTAACCAATACTACTGCCAATTTGGAAAAAACAAGGATAAATCCGGACTAGGCGTAACCAGACCTGGACCTCGAAATGTATTTTGACTATTGCAGGTTTTTTTTTTTGATGGGTTTTGCACAAAAATCAATTGAAAGTAAAGCAGCATGCTTCCTTTAAGCCTCACAAAGCTAATAACATAGCAAGCAAAGAGGGGTAATTACCAAACTTACAGTACCGTGACAATGATGTTGACACTACTTGTAGATTATTTTTTATAGTAAACATTGAGAGTAACAAAAAAAATCTACTCCTGTATTTGTAGTAGCACATCAGTAGTAGCAAAAAGAAAACGCTCTGGAGACATGCAGTTATTTATATCAAAATACAGAGCGCTAACGGGCACTAAAAGAAGTGCTATTAGCTGAACTGCAGCAGCAAAGTCTGCAGGGAACCTGAAGTAGCATCCACAGCTAACAAGCACTTCATCTGCAGAAGCTCTGACAGATCAGCGGGCCTCGACGCTCCCTTGTAGCCTCTGCAGTTCAGCATGTACGAAAAGTGTAGTAAATAGTACTAATATCAGCAGCAGCCAAGTCAAGGCACGAGTTACCGAACAAGACCTGTGCTGTTTAACACAGTTGTTTGAATTCCTATGGGTGACAGTTAGCTAACATACAAAATTCAATAATTGAGCCCCTAAAGCTTTCATTTAACCATCTAAAACCTAACAGCGGGTGTGAGGGGCATGTTATTTCTGAACAAATTGCCAAAATTAGACCATTTTACAAACTGAAAAGTTTCTGTCCTTGTAGTGCTCATGTGGGATTTAAAAAAACAACCACTTTGAAGCTACAAATTGGGATATTTCATCAAAATGACTTAAATTGTACCAAAAATAAAGTGTTTGGTGCAACGACGTCTTGTAAAAAAAAGAACAATCCTGTCTGACTGTGAAGCTATTAGTGAGTCCATAGTTATACATTTTGGCTGAACTGCAGGCTGTGTTTATGTGAGCAGATAGGAGAGAAGTATGGAAACAGATTTTTAAAAAGTGTAAATATAAATATATATTAATATGAAAAATCACATTTGTTTTCCCCTAAGTATTGTTAACACCTGTGGGAACTTGGAAAAATGTTTTACATGTAAATTCCTTCTTTTTTTTTTTCCTTCTTCTCAATTTTTGTAAAATAAGTAAAAGAAATTCAACCTTTTTGTTAAAATAATTTATGCCATGATAGCTATCTCATAATGCTCAGAAGACATTTTTAAGTTCTCTGTTGTTTCCATAGGAGGTGCAGGACTTTATATTGCTGAAAAAATTGAAGCAAAAGTGAGAAAAACTTATGACAAAAGCAAAAGATGTTCAAAAACGGCTGTTGATAAAGTAGTTAAATTCACTATAAACCTTCTTTCTTCTCATCTTTATTTAAAATGTCATATAAAGTTATAAATATTCCTCGATATCAACTGGAAGGAAACATTTTTTTTCATGATAACATTTTCAGCCCTATTCATAAACACTAACTTGCTAGACCGGAGAAAACCTGTTGTGATCACTGTGGTGAGAAGTTCAAAAGCTGCAGCCGGCAGTGATACAGGAGGCCTGTCAGACAGATGTTCACATCCTCGGTGACAAGAGAGTTAAAAATGGCAGATCCCGCTCGCCAGCCCCGCCGTGTCCCAGGTGGGCCCGCCGCTCCTGGGGATAAACTGTGACGTAAATAAAATGTCACAGCGAGCCGCAGGCGGCAGCAGCAGCAGCGTGTACAGCTGGAGAGTCTGACGCTGCATCTTCTGGGAGAGTTTATTTCAGGCGTCATCGGTCCGTCAGCCTGCCTGTCCACCCTCAGTGTATCTGGTGACAGGAGGCAGGGCTGCCACCGTTGAACCGGCTCCACCAGTCTCTCTGAAGGCCTCCAAAAGAAACACAAACTGTAATTTTCCCGGCAGCAGGCAATTCACCTCTCAAAATGTAAA